TCACAATATGCTTCTAAGACACTGTAGCATCTACCAACAGCAACTAAGAAGACACACAGAAATTCCCAGACATGACATTCAGTGGATGGTTGATATTCAAACTGTGTACTTCCCAGAAATAAATTATCCTGCATACTTTTTCTGATTCCTTCCAATTTTAATCAAGAGGCCAGTCAAATTTATAAGATAGAAAATTAATTTACATGTAAAGCATTTCTGCTAGTACAGACTTACAATACAAACATGCTGCAGAAAAATAACATCACAGTTTCGCATCATCTTTCTTATACTTAGCTACTGGTTTCATCAGTCATCAGAAACTGAAAGGTCAGGAAACATGTAGTCAAAAGACTTATATTTCTCAGAAGATTATATGGCCATCATGTCAAGATTTTTCTGTTTGCCCAGACTGGATATCCACCCTGATACCATTAGTGCTGAAGAAGCAGCTAGAGCACTAAACTGATCACTCACATCAATTGGTGCTATATTTAGAAATGTGTAGTCTTTCATGGCACCCAGATGTAGGGGCTTACTTACATGGTATGAATGGAATCCACTGCCACCATGTTCAGTATATTAATACTTTGTTCTGTGAAAATTATGTGACTGAATCAAAACTTCTTACTGGGAGAGTAGTAACAGGAATATCTAAGATGATATAAATCAAGGGTGTTCAGGTAGAAATCTGTCATTAAGTAGGATGATGCAGCAACAACACTCTAGATTTGAGAGAAATGTGGTTTGAACCTCAATTATCTCTTGATTGAGGTGCCTCAAACTCCTCAAACAAATACAAGAACATAACAGCCTTGTTCCAATGCCAATCAACTCACCATTCATAATCTTCCCATTTCATTTGACTCTACATAACCTCCAAGTTCAAACACTATTGTTAAATAACTTAAGTACAAATGTTATCAGGAAATATGTCATCTATTGGTATGCAAGCATGGTAAGAATAAAAGAATGATAGTAAATATGAATGAAGATTTCAAGGCATCAGAAACAAAAGTAGAACCAAAATACCTATAGCTGTCACATACCAAGAACAGTGCCCCCAATGATGAGTGCTCCTGCTGTGTCAATGAGGCCTGACCTGGAAACTCCAGCCAGCGCAAGGAAAAGCCCTAGACAGCCTAGGTTTTGAGAGATGACAATCACATAGAACATAAGGGCATGGTGACGGGACTGTCCCTCCTGCAAGTTGAAGAAGCAGAAGCAATAGATAACCCCGACCACACAGTTGTAGATGTACTCGTCCCATGGGGTGTGGTAACAGCCAGTTTTTTGGAATACAATCCATACCATCATACACAGCCAGTGCACACCTGCAAACACAAAATGCAGTATCACAAACACAAATATCTTCTTCTTCGGGAAGTAAATTCAGTAACATGAGAGAAAAATATATTAGATCAGAGACTTTTATGGTGGTTAGAGTTCAGATGTTGGTCTTCTGGGTTGTGACACCATGCTGTCTTGTAGGTAGTTGTCAACATTTTGGAGAAACATACTGCCTCCATTTTCATCTAACGAGAAGATAGTACTAATAAAAAAACAAGCAAGTTTTTGCTTGTGACTATACTAAATCAGAAGTTGTGCTAGCCAGTTAGACCAATCTACTGCAAATGGTTAATTAATCTTAAAACAGATTTTTCCTGTATGAAGGTAACCCAATAAAGTTATGAACACTGATTCCTAAACCTTTCAATGCCATTGAAACTGGAGGAAGAATCTTCTCTCTAGTCAAACATATGTACTCAGTGAATGTTATGAACAAACAAGGCAATCTACATAAATTATGTAAATGACTAGCACAATCATCATGATATGCCATTATATGCAACACACATACCAAGGAACAGGAACAGCCAAGCATGGAAGCCCACAGCAAAGAGGACAAGTGTTGCGATCCTGGCAGTAACCATGCCTCCACGCCATGCTGCCTGGCACACCAGTCCAGGCCATGACACATGAGTCTTATCTGAACAGGCTCGGTGCATTGATCTGGTGTACACTGCCACAGCCCAGGCAAGCGATAAGAGGGACGCTATTGCTGACACACCTGTACCAGAGCACAGAATGGAGTAATGAAGAAGCTGTGTGGGAAACTAATGGACACCAAAAGGCAGTGGATGAGGAGAAGGTTCTTGGTTTATTTAAAACACTGGCATCTACACTGACTTATAACAATGAATGATAACCAACATGATGAATATAAATGGTAACTTGAGAAAGATGTGGAAGGTCTGTTGTAATTTGTGGTTGTATCCCAGCACTTGCCTGGACAGACCGAGGAAATAATTAAGAACTTTAATCAGCACAGCCAGTCACAGTCAGGGATTTGAGTGGGGGAAGTCCTGGATGTGCTTCAGACATGTGACCACTACAACTCAAATGGTAAAGGATGAACATCGAAGCACAGAGGGCACCCAGAGCCACAGAAGAAAAATATAAGATGAAAAAGGATAAGAATTACATGAGATGGAAATAAAAAATCAAGATGAGGGACACAAATAATAAAACAGTAAATAAAAATGATGATGAACAGCTACAGTGTTTTCAGCAGACTGATACCTGGTGCAGTGCAGCATAATTTCAGGTTGCCACCAACTTTAGGAATCACTGGGTGACAGTTTAAAAATGTATGTGAATGTAAAACACACAGAATTTTTCAGAGACCTTTTTGGAAGGAAGATTTGGAAAGTAAAGGTAAGGAACTACTGTGTTGAAACAGGGCTGGCAACGCAGAGGACACATTAATAGGTATGGTAAGACACTGACAGGTATTTTCCTCTCTTCATACCCATGCCTGAACAGATTCTTGGGTCCACTAACCCTCTCGTGCGGTGGATATCACAAGTAAAGCAACTGTAGCAAGAAGCAGTTGTAGCATGAAGCGTTGATGTTGTATGAAGCACCAAGCTTCATACAACATCAAGGTAGAAATGTGTGATCTTTCCCGTTCACGCCCCCTATCCATCTTCCCAGCGTGGTGCCTGGGATGGAGAGTTTTATCTCTGCTACAAACAAGAGCAGGAGATTGCGAGGTGAAATCGAAGGGCAAACACAAGGCTTGACAGACACTTTAAACCCGTTCAAGTCCCTACAACATTTTTAATGCACATTCGCCATGAGCGCTACATGTCCGTCCCATCTCTAATTCATCTATAATGCAATTCTGGCATACAACTTTGTTGCAGATTTTAATATCTTTGGTGTTCGGCAGGCAGGCAGGCAATACGCCAATATAAATTACGCCTGACTTACGCCCTTCTTATCGAGCACAAAAATATGATCTGCACTTTAAAATCTCTTACATTACTCCACTAGAATCAAATGGGTGTCAAACTGTTTCGCTGCGAGGCTTATGAGGACAGTAACTGTGAAGTTAAAGTTGTCCATGGGCTTTATTAAGCACCACACCACTGAGGCTTATGGGAGTCCGGAGGAAAAATCCACGCATTCTTAACTTCGGAAGTCGATAGTGATTAATAGTCTGCTTTATGGCGGGGGAGAGAGAACCCCGGGTTCCCGATCGGGGAGGCCCCAAAGCTGGTCCATATACAGCGGCATAAATCGAGAAATTGGAACAGAGATGTGTTGCCTCCCACACACAAGCCGTGCGTGAGTGGAAACACTCTGGAGGGACTGAGAAAAATCAGTGGAACTGCCTGCAGTCCCGAGAGAGCCGCGTGCGCGACTGGTCGCCTGTATGCTGACGCTCCGCCCCTACATGACGGCCGTCGCCGGCAGACGAACGCCTCAGGTGAGTGGAACAAACAGAAGCTTCAAACACAAACAACCCGCTGGTGTGCGTTACATGAGGGGGAAATTTTCTGTCGGGTCCCTGGCCCTCAAAGTTGTGACCTGAAATATGAAGAGCTGTGCTGAAAATGTACTGCTAAGTTCATGATCCATGTCGATAAAGAGGAAAAAGGGTTTACGACTAAAATTTTGTACATGCGTTCTACGTCGCACACTGTCTTGCTCGAAATACAACTGGCACCCGCTAGTTTTCTACAAGAATTTAAGGGGAGGATCACAATTTCTTCTTACAGCTGCTCGTATCTTTCCTCCTTCGCCTCCTCTTCCTACGGACCTCTCCGTATTCCTCGTTCACAGATGAGGCATTCTGGCCTGCTCCGACTCACAATTACATGTCGCAAAACACTCAGCAGCTACGAAGCGACAGAAGACATCTTGGAACTTGATACCGTACAAGACACAAATGTACGTCGGCCGCGCCAGGTTGAACGCCTTCAACAATGATCTCACGGTAAAATATCGCAAAGTTATCACTGCCCAAAAGCAAGTACCACGCTATGAAGACGAATGGGGATTTGGAGGAAAAGCTCCAGAAATTTTGAAACTCGGCACTATATGGAAATGTGTTGTCAGCTTGCTTCACGCCCCCGACCGCTTTATCCCCGGTACCCATCGAATAGGTGGTTGGATGGATCCCAGAAGCGATGTGGACACAGTGGCGAAGAAAAAATCTACTCCTGACGAGAATCAAAATCCTCTCGTCAGGTCCGCACGATCCATAACTTAACGAGAAAGCAGCAAGATATGAGGGCAGGCACAAAGTCCGTTGAACTGAACCAAAAGGGAAAGTAAGTGTACAGCGTGCTCGGGAGTCATATACTGTTTCACAGACCGAAGTACAGAGATGAAAACTGCAGTCTTCCGGGATGTGGCGCCGTGTAGTCTGGCAGACACTGACCGATCTTTACAGGAGCCTACTGCCTACGTTATCACCCTGATGATTATGAGTGCAAGGTCATCTGAAACGTTGGGCAGTGTTTCAAAGACCACACGGGGCTGCATCCCAGAACACAGCCTTCGTCACGCTCGTCGCCGAGAGAACCACCACAAGCACACCGTGACGTCTGTCCCAAATGTAATCAGAAACTCCGCACTCCGGCATACATTTTTAGCGGAATTAGCCGTTTCCAATAGCATTGTTTGACGGCCGAGAATTCTGTGTCCACGAGATACTGATACGCCAGAGATTGGGGGGGGGGGGGACGATAGCTGCAGCGGGCCTTCCGCCGGGAAAGGGTCATTATCTTCACGCCTCCATCGTGTGTACTCTGCTTCTCTTCCTTTCTTTGTCTTCTGTTGTTTTTTTTAATTCTTCCTTCCGTTCTGTACACGTTACTCCGTCTGTCCCGAACTGTGCCAATTGAAACATAATGAAGCAGGTCACAATTTGACCTCTGCAGTGACCAAGCATTTCCTTAGTCCTTTGAATTGTAAGTCTTCAAATAAATTACAGTGGAACTCAAGGCCAAACCCAAGATTGTTTGTTGTGCATTATTTCCCACATTACCTGAAACCACACAAACGTTGCTGCTATCTACATTTCCGATGTCAATGAGCACAATATCTGGATAACAATAGTTTCACTAGTTGTCTTTAAGTTACTGTTATACATAAAACAAACACTTTGCCATTTTGGTTTTTATGTGTGTGCAGGCAAAGAAGCATAGTGAAGTTCTCACTGATACTCTTCTATCCACGTAATTAAAATTGCAAGCACAGAACAGTTCAGTCTTGCCCAGAACCATACTAGGCCACATATGTCACATGACCATTACATACACACATAACAAAATGTTTTTTTCTAGTTAAATTACATAAATTTCTTTGCAGTACCTTGAATATTAAAGGAGATAACAGAACATTCTGCGCGCTGGTTCGAGTCTCGGGGGAGAAGAAATTTTCTCATGAGATTTTCGACCAGTGTATGGGACCGGTGCCAACCCAGCATCGTGAGGAAATTGGGGAGCTACAATGAGTAGCGTAATCCGGTCAGGAAAGCTAGCAATGGCTGGGGGTTCGTCGTGCTGACCACACGTCACCCTACATCTGGTTGGATGATCGCTCACCTCTGCTTAGGCATGTGAACATGAGGCCAGCAGTCAAGCTAGTCGGCTTTGGCTCTCTGGAGCTGTTACGCCATGGATTTAATTTTTTTTTTAACAGAACATTCTAGGTTGCCTTCAAACAGATAGGCCCAACTTATCAAAAGTAATCACTTGTGTTTCTATTTACTGTAGTTCCTAAATGTATTTCCTGAGTATTTAATATGAGAGAGAGAGAGAGAGAGCAACACTTGACCTCACTTCACCCTTTGAGAATCCCTGGAAACAAGTGCAAAGGAACAGCAGAAGATGAAGAAAAATGTAAAAAATTATAAAAATAACCTGTGTACCATCACCCTTCTATATGTTAGGCTTAGTTAGCAAGTCACAAAACAGTCTAAAAGCCTCTCGATTCAAATGCCAACCTCACTCTTCTCATGGCACACCGTGAAGATAAATCAAAATGATACTGGAGGAAATTCTCATTCAGAAGACAGTGCAAAAGTCAAACTGTTGGGTCTGTATATATTGTTTCAGATATGGTTCCTCAGCTTTATTTCCTTGCTGTGTGTCTCTGTGATGTCTGTGCTGTTGGTACCATGTTACACCAACAGCAACCTTCTGCAGCAAGACAGCAACTACATGACGCCCATACTCACAGAGACACAAATGGTGAGAGCCCCCAGTAGAACCACCAAGTCTGTACATACTCTTTCTTCTCTCAACTGAGTTTAAATAGAAGCAAAGCTGAATGCATCACCAGTTATAAATTTAAAATACAGCAATAATTAGCAAAATCAAATCAACTGTTAGACAGTCCTGATGTAACGTGATGATCTATTAAATGCCTGCAATTAAAAATTTTAGTGCGGTACAAGTTCTTGTAGCAAGAAGATGTCTCTAACAATACAGTATTCAAAGATGACATACATTATTATTATTATCCCATCTCTTCACCACTTTATAAGGTATTTATTTCCATGTACCCGAGACATACCTTGCCCCTGAGGTGCATATTGCAGCAGCTATTTCCAAAATACATTTTGTTTTTAATGTGTTACATGTATTATATAGTTTTATTGTGAGGGATGACTATATTTTACATCAGCGTCTTTCGAATGATGTATGAAGATCCTAAAAATAACACTTCGAGGTTTGTTTAAAAGTACGGCAGCAAAAGCCTCCCTGGTGGCAAAATGGATGGACTGTAGAGTTTGGCTAACAAGTCTGAACAAGGTAATAAGTTACCACACAAAACAATAATTTTGTGACAATTTACAATGTCCTATCCAGGAAAACATACAGCATGAAATGAAAAGACGACAGCTGACAATGATGGGTCAGTGCCACAACACAAGTAGCAGTAAAGTAAACAGCATACACCAGATGCCAAAAATACTAAAGGTGGCAAAGAAGCTCTTTGTTGAAAAGTGAGTATACTTGAAATAATATGTCACATCAAAGAAGGGAGACCAAAACAGCTCACTTAATTACATAATTTACTGAAAAATGCTAAGAGATGCATGCATTCAATAAGTGCAATTCTGTATTTGATTAACACCTACAAAATACATAGCCCACAAAACAGGTACCTAATATAAAATGCCTTTCTCATTAAAAGTTACATAATTTTATCAAGTATTTGTAACTGAATAATGCAAAGAAATGTATTTAAGCTTAGATTTTGCTGTAGCAGTAGCTATTACAAAATTTCAATCAAAGTCATACTTCATAAAAAGGAACTTTTAGAATAAATCTTCAACATAAAATTTTATCAAAATGTGTGCCACCAAAACTTCTGTTGAGCTAGTTCCAGTTAACTTTTTCATAACAATTTTTCCAAGGTTAATTTCAATATTATCGTCCCATCTATGCATAGGTCTCCCAAGTAGTCTATTTCCAGCCAAAGTTATTACACAGATACAGAACTCTTAATTCCATCAAAAGCCATTGTTTCTAGAAGACAAGAGGCAGTGAGAGGGCTAAGATAAAACCTGTCACTGCCTCCACTTAGTACTGTATAATAATTTCAGAAATTTCTGTGATGCAGGGAACACAAACTAGTGTGGTGTCCGATATATAAAGCTGGATCCACAACATGGATGGAAATATTTGCAACGATTGGAGGAGTGATGACCCCTAACAATCGCATGAGGTTAAGCAAAGGACTCATACAAATAAACCAACTAGCAAGAATGGTTTATCCCAAGGCAAAAGACACAAAAGCCACCTTGAAGGTAAAGCATGTGACTTGCACTATTACTGGAACCACTAATTACCCAAAATGTTTGCGAACACAAGACAAATAATTCAAATCTAAAAGGTTCTGACAATGGTGGATTACACTTAAAATTATTCATTGTCTAGACTTTTACCATCATCCTTGTTTAAAAGAAGAAATCACGACAGACCCAATTGAGTAGGTACCTCTCGCCTGAAGACAGAAACAAAGCCAGTTTCTGAAATGTTGTGGTTTCTTCTCTTTTTTATCAACGACAATGGAAAAAGTCCAGACAAGGAATAAACAAGAAAAAGAATTCAATGAAGATTTCATATTTAACTTCTGAGTTAAAATGGAAGAATATTTTCATTACATTAGGTGCAAAAACAGAAGAAACACAAGACAAGTACTTAATCCTAGAAGTAATAGCTGATTCATCTCTTCTCTTACAGCTGCTGCCAGAAACCACACGATTCATCATTGTGCGACATCCATTTGAACGCATCCTGTCAGCATACAGAGACAAACTGGAGCATCGAAAAGATCGCGAGTTTTATTACAGACGGTATGGTCGTCACATAGTGAGATTGCAGCGTGATGGAAATGCCACATTTGCAGACAGAGCTGAACCAACTTTCATGGAATTCCTTCAGTACTTGGTGAAAACAAAGAATTTTGATGAGCACTGGAGTCCATTCACTGTTGAGTGTGCTCCCTGTGAACTAAACTATCAGTTCATTCTCAAGATGGAATCCCTTGAGAAAGAGCAGTTATTCCTAGCAATTAAAACCAATTTGCTTGACTTCCTCCTCACTGTCAATTCCACAGACCAGTTGTTGCAGAACACAAACCCTAATGGCCGGACTGAACAAAAGTATGCTCAGCAGTATTACGGACAGGTTCCAAAGCAACTACTCCAAAAAGTGTATGTGGTATATGAGGATGATTTCAGACTCTTTGACTACTCACCAAATGAATACTTCAGTTTCGCTAAAGGTAATAGTTAACAAGATGCAGCTGTATTATCTGAATGATGAAAACATGGAATTATTAGTGTGATGTATGTCTGTCTTCAAAAAAATTCCTCTGAGCATAACAAAGACAGATTACATTCCTATTGCAATATGAAGCTGTGAATCAGTACACAGTATTTACTGAACTGTTCAGTATTAATAATGTTATCTGATAAACATGACTGAGTGACTTCTAAAATCAAACAGTAAAGTGTTATAACTAATTATGACCTTGCCTGCAATATATACATGCAAATACATGTATGTTGATACCCCTCAATACTGGCAGTAGTATATTTGGTGTTAAAACAGTGCAGTGTATGCATGCGCGTTTGTGTGCGTGCATACGTGTGTGTGTAGAAGAACCTTGTAGAAACCACAAATATATAAGACTAAGTTAAATGTGGTCACCTGGGTTGTGACATTATATGTGAAGTGAAATAGCCAGGGCTCAAAAAAATCTGATAATCTGGTAGCCAGAAATCATCAGGGCTTACTCATGTCCCTCATGATGGAGGCAGCAAGACCTCTCAAAAGTCAGTAAACCTCTATCAGACTACCCGACACTACAACCCAGAAGACAGCCATCTTCAGACTCACTGCCATGAAAACCTTAATCCTATCTAACAGATATTTTGTAAAAAAAAAATTATAAAGAATTAGGGCATTCAGAATGTTGGGCTAATCTGATGAGCAAAAAGAAAAGAATCCAGACATAAATATTCTGGGCTAGAACAGAGACTGACTATAGGCTGGACAACTGGAGTTTGATTCCAGCAGAGGCAGGGACTTTTCTCTTCACCACTTAGTTCAGACTGA